TAAGTTGAAATTCCAATTTTGATATCCACTTACACTGACATTTTAATGGCGTAGAAAAACTCCAGCAGTGAGTGTGCACTGTTCATATCTCAAATAGCAAGAGAAAGTTTCTATAATATATAAATAAAGATATAACTCATGCCAGTTTAGCAGAAGAGTTAAGTGGCTTGTGAAAGAAAATCTAAATATTAGTTCAATAACGCTAAATACTTCACAGGTTGTCCCAAGTTATATTAGCTTCAGATTCAAAGATGAAAACTACATTTTTGGCATAAGGATAGACTCTCAGAAGGAACTAACCTATTCAGATGTTGGGAGAAATAAATCCAGATATGTAGTTTCTGATATTTTAAATATTAAATGAAAACTTCTTAGGAAAATTAGTAGAGAACTTGAGTATCTAAATTGAGCAAAGTATCCTTAAAACAGCCACAAATTCTAGATGAACTATACTAATTACAATGGTACAAAACTCAACCAGCCTTCTGAACTTGAAGTTCAGGAAAAGTATAAAACAAATAATACACTCCTAAAGTGTTAATCTGTTGAAGATTAAACAAGGTTTGCCCTGTAACAAAGATTTAGCAATCAAAAACTGGGAAGTTAGTAACAAAAGACTTTCCACCAAAGAGCAACATTGATCAGTCCAACTGGACCCATATATCTATTTTCTGATGTAAAAAATGAAGAGTAACAATTTTCCAATTGTTATTGAAGCTTTGTAACGTTAAGACACTTGATAATTTGATATGTTAATGTACCGATATGAGATTGAGAGTTTGTTTAATGAATGAGCTTGTAGCCAGGATCTTTTGGGGATGAAGAAAAAAGAAACTCCATTCAAAAAGAGTTAGGGCAGTGTGTGTTGGAACCCAAGGGGAGAAAGTATATTCGGGAGTAAATGAATTGGATTGAGGCATGGCAAGCCTGGTCTAACCAAAGAGCTATACAATCACTCTAATTTCTGATTTTCTTTTCATGTGTATGCAATTCTCCTTGCTCATCTGTTTTCTTTTTCCTTTGCACACAGACTACTACAACTACAGGGGCTAGCGTTAAACTATTGTGGCTCTGCTCGGAGCTGATTACACATTGGTCATTCATCTCTCTTGTGAACTGTCTGCTAGGTTCAACCCAGCCCATCCGGTGCAATCTGCTGTTGACAAGGAATATATCTATTATTGCTTTGATTTTGAGCCAGGGATATTGCAGTGTTCTGTCAGTTGCTATACTATTAGATTTGAAGAAAACCTTAGAATTTACACACTTTACGCAAGTCCAAGGATAACAGTTTCACAAATGCACACTAAGGAATGGAATCCAAAAGACCACCTGCTGTTTGTTTTATCAATGTACCTCTCTGTTCTTCCCTGGTGTGGCTCTGATTTTAAACAGTGCATCACCTCTCACTCGACTCGATTGAGAATTGCCTCCATACTATCTGACAACGGAAATAGACTTT